AGAGAGAGAGAGAGTTGGTATTCACCATCATTTAGACAGCCAAACATCTTGGAAGAGGAGGAGTAGTAACCCATCATGCAAAAAGGAGGAGAGACAAGAAAACAAATAAATGTGGAGTCAGCAAATGTAATGACAGGCAGATGTATCAGAATTCAGTGTGGTGAATTGATTGATGTGAATCACACATGAACTTTAGTGGTCTACCAAAGTGCACAGGCCAATCTTCTGTTCAGGATATGTTAGCTTATGGTAAAAACAAAATTGTGTTACATATGATAGGAATGAAGTTATAAGATGCAGTTAATAAAACCAATGGAAGACATAGAGGCCCTCCAGAGAAATACCTAATGTAAGTAGGTAACCCTAACACTTGCCTATAGATATGAAGTAGCCTTGGCATCATCCACACTGAAAATCCCAGAAGAAAGCAAGTTGATGGTCAAAATAACCAACCTCTTATCTTCTAAGCAGCCAGAAACTCACAGATGTGCTCCCAGCAGAGTAGGCTCAGAAACCTAATGGAGCAGTGGACGAGGGAGAGGTGAGGTCTCTGTAAATGCCCAATGCTTTTGTTTCCTTCAACAACTGGGCAAGACAATAGAAAACACACTTTAAAATTATGTCATTGATAGTTGCTATTAGGTCAACTTTGGTATAATAGGTCAACTTATTCAAAGTGGACTATTTTTAAAACTGAATAGGCCAGCCTTTCTCAACAGTGAGTCATAGGTAAGGCTAAACTTAGCAAACACAGGCCACTGAACACCTGCTTTCATAATAGCTCCTTCCATTACTGTAGAGAAGGAAAGACTGTTTTCTTGTTCTTAAAGTCAAATTTACTCATTTTGTTTTCATTATGTTTTGTCAATAACACTGACAGTGCTTTGAAAGGAAAATATAGTCCATGTTGGGCATGTCAACAGAGGAGATGGGAAAGCTCCAGAATGAATCTTACCATGAATATTGTGGAAATGGCCTTTCTTTGTGAGCAATTGTAACACCATACTCCTTGACACATCACATTTTTGTCCGATCTGACCTTTCAGATAATAGCACACCTGTGCTATTTCCTTAAACAGCCACTGGACAACTATTCAAATACTACTTACAGATTCTTAAAGTTACCATGACACTACTTTAACTTCTTCACAGACCAGGATCAGATAATATAAACAATTCTTGAAGATATATATTTCATGCACATACATATACATGCATAGATAGACACAAATACACACACACACACTCATACACACAAGAACTAGAGTAAATCTACAAGAGTTAGAGTGTGTCAATTTCCTTTGGTAGAACCCAATGCAAGTCAAATATAATTATATGAGAAAGTTCTTCATCTAGGAAAAAAAATCATTTAATTTCAAGAACTAATGATATGATGTGTTAAACCTTCTGAAAATAATTTGATAGATTCTTCAATCTTACTCTGACCCAAACAGAACTTTTTAATTTAAAAATTGATTGTTTGAAATAAGTTCCCAGAAATTCATTTAGGTATGAGCTATTTAATTTTGAAAGTATTATAATGTAACAAAAGAAACAGCAGGACATTCAAATTGCTTGGACTTTCAGATCAGGGAAATAACCTGAAATTTTTGTCTTGGATCTTATATAATACTAATTCTACTTCATGAAACATACTAGAAGGAATAATAACAAGTGAAGCATAATAAAAGAACAGAAATTTAGCTTGTTGATTCTGTTATAACAAACGAACATCATTATCTAATATTCAGGATATATTACATCAGGGTATTCTCATCAAAATGTGTACACATATTCAGAATATCACATTCTTCTTATAGATACTAAGGAAAGTTTTTTTGCTGGAGTCAGAATTTTTCTGGTGTTTGGGGTGTAGTGGAAACAGTTGGCACAATTGATTTCTTCAAAGCAACAGGTGAAATTATGTCCCACTTTTCATCTGGTGCCAGTAGCATTGGTTTAAAGGGAGCTCTGTTTTTTTTTATCATTTTTTATTTGAATTAGAAACAAGATTGATTTACATGACAATCCAATTTTCCTTCTCCCTCCCTTCCTCCCCTACCACCCACCCCCAACTAAAACCCTCCCTATCACATACCCTTTCTTCTATTCTTCACCTGACTTAACCTTTCAGCTCCCTCATAACCTCTGCATCCTTCCTCTTCTTCCGTTCTCATTCTTCTAGCTCCCTCCCTCCTCTTCCCATGTTCTCAATTTGCTCAGGGGATCTTGACCCTTCCGCCTTCTCCAGGGTCTCTCTTAGGGTCCTCCTTGTTTACTAGCTTCTCCGGCTGTGGATTGTAGACTGGTAATCCTTTACTCTATATCTAAAATTCACATATGAGTGAGTACATATCATGTTTGTCTTTTTGTGATTGGATTATCTCACTCAGAATGGTTTCTTCTAGTTCCATCCATTTTCCTGCAAATTTCAAGATTCCATTGTTTCCGCTGAGTAGTACTCCATTGCGTAAATGTACCAAATTTTCTCTATTCATTCTTTGGTTGAGGGGCATCTAGGCTGCTTCCAGTTTCTGGCTATTACAAATAGTGCTGATATGAATATTGTTGAACAGATGTCCTTATTGTATGAATGTGCTTCTTTTGGGTATATGCCTAGGAGTGGAATTGCTGGATCTTGTGGTAGACTCATTTCCTTTTTCTTGAGGAGTCGCCATACTGATTTCCAAAGTGGCTGTATAAGTTGGCACCCCCACCAGCAGTGGAGGAGTGTTCCTCTTTCTCTGCATACTCTCCAGCACAAACTGTCATTGGTGTTTTTGATTTTGGTCATTCTGACAGTAGTAAGATGGTATCTCAGAGTTGTTTTGATTTGAATTTCCCTGATGGCTAAGGATGTTGAACACTTTCTTATGTGTCCTTCAGCCATTTTAGATTCCTCTATTGAGAATTGTCTATTTAGTTCTGTACCCCACTTTTTAATTGGATTGTTTGGTGTTTTGGAGACTAGCTTCTTGAGTTCTTTGTATATTTGGGAAATCAGCCCTCTGTCAGATGTGGGGTTGGTGAATATCTTTCCCAGTCTGTGGGCTGCCAATTTGTTTTGCTGACTGTGTCCTTTGCCTTGCAGAAGCTTCTCAGTTTCAGGAGGTTCCATTTATCAATTGTTGATCTTAGTGTTTGTGCTACTGGTCTTCTGTAGCAATTAATTCAAGGGTATTTCCCACTTTATCCTCTAATAGGTTCAGTGTGGCTGGGTTTATGTTGAGGTTTTTGATCCGTTTTGACATAAGTTTTGTGTAGGGTGAAAGGCTTGGGTCTATCTGTAGTCTTCTACATGTCTGCATCCAGTTATGCCAGCACCATTTGTTGAAGATATTCTCTTTGTTCCAGCGTATAAATTTAGATTGTTTGTCAAAAATCAGGTGTTTGTAGGTGTGTGGGTTAATATCAGGGTATTCAAAACATTTTAAGACAGCAGTTTTATTGTTATTGTAAATTTTATCCTCTCTCAAAGACTATTTTTAGAAGATAACAGAACACAGCTAAATGCTGAGTTGTTAAATCATATTGTAAAATTAAATTTTTATGTAAAAACTAAAAGCACAGAAATATTTTTAAATGAAATAAAAGTTTAAGAGAGACAGGAGGGAAAATTTCTAGTTCTCAGGTTTCTAAACACTCACCAGTCAATTCTGTTTTATTCAAGCTTTGAAACATACTCATTTTTAGCTCCAATGTTTGCCTTGAAGCATGTAATCATTCACAGTTTCTACAGAAAATGGGAAATAAATGTTAATAAGTAAGATTTAATCAATATATGAAGATATCAAGATGTAATTATGTAATTAATTTGTATCCAGAATTGAGTTTCTCTAACTCATAAAGTTTTCTCTTTCATTCAATTTTTGGCAGTCAACGTTTCCAACATGTCAACATGTAGATCTCCATGTAATCATTTATCACCTCTGAATGCCAATCAAGTGTGTGTTAGAAATTATAACTCTGACAACAGTATCAGGGTCCCTGGAGCTAAAGCTGGAATCTCCCAATCAACAAAGAACATGGCCTCAAAGCAAATAATTTTCCTGTCTACCAGTAAGTCTCCTTAGTCTCAAAAATGGGAACATCTAACCTTGAAAAATTATTATCATTAATGTCATTAATGATGGTAATCCCAATAAAATGACAGATGGCCAAGAGCTGCACTTCCTGAAATTTTCTTAAGATAATCTATATGAAATTTATGCTCACTTCCATTTTATCTTTTCTGTAATCAAATATGGGTTTCTGATTAGTTTTTCTACACTGAATTTTTCTCTGAATATTCTACTGAGACTGATCTATGTCTTATCATAGTTAACTTTATTCAACATTTTTTCCTACTAATACATCACCCTATGCCTCTTCACTGTGGATAATCTTATATCCTTTGTATTTGGGTGGATATTAAAAACTGTTAATGTATATATTTAGCTTCTAGAAAACTCTATCATCTACTAATTCTTTTAGCTATTTCATTTAGGAGCAGTTGACTATTTGCTCAAGTTCACACTGACTTCAGAGTGATCTTTTTTCAAAGATTAATCTCCATTAGTTAAGCCATAATAGAATCTACATTTTTTTCAACCTCTCCACAAGATTATTTTATTTGAAATTTCTTGTATGCATCATTAAATACACACACACACACACACACACACACACACACACACACACCTTACTAATAAACACCCTAGGACCATTGAGATGACTCAGCAGGTAAAGGTACTTGACACAATTGCTAACAATCTGATTTCAATCCTTGGGACCCATAAGATAGAGGGAGGAAACTGACTCCCTCATGGCATCCTCTCGTCTCCACAAATGTTTCATGACTTATTCACTACCATAAACACAATACATAAATGAAGTTTAATTATTATATAGGCACCAGGAGAATCAATTAAATATTTATGTGAAAAAGAGTAGCAGTTTCAGAAGGAGAACTATGTTTAAGCTGGTATTTCCCCCTTTTCAGAGAAAAATAGCCACTTTCCCTTCTCCACATGATGTCCAGCACTGGGCTCTGACATCCTTGAGGACATGGAGTTCCTAGGAACTTTGACTCCAGGGATATGAGGAGACTCAATAGAAACAAAAGGAAAATGATTTTCTTTTCATTCAATGACTGCTATAAAATGTTCAAATTACTGAAGCTTAAAAATTGTAACACTGGTAAGTGTTTATAAGTACAATGGAAAATCATAATTTCAATGAAAATCTTGTTTCTAAGCATAAGAAAAAGTCTTGATTGACTCTCTGGTGCTACAAGAATCTCTAATATTGAATTTTGACTGAATATCTCAGAAATATATGCAAAATGATTCTAGGATAAACCTTTTTATATAGAGAAAATTATACTAGGATAACCAGAAAACTAGAAAGGGGCACATTGTTTCTCAGTCAGTTCTGAGGACGATTTCATGAGTACCACTCCATTTAGATAGTAGGCTTTCTGGTGATGTTGTATATTCCATTCATATTTTGATGACAGGTATTTAAATATAAACTTACCTTAAATTATCTTTGAAACAATAATATCAAACACATGAAAAACTGAAATTATAAAATCAAAAAGGTTACTGTTTACCTATCTTTGAATGTTAACTAAAATTAGTAGGAAATAACAAATGAGAATAATGGGCTTATGTATTTTCTTCTTTAAACAGTCAAATTTGTGTCAGCATTTGTAGGATGAGCAGAGTTGAGAAGGCTGTTTTGTACTAACTTCTATAATAGGACAATTTAAGTATGAATGAGCTCAAGTTCCCCTTTCATCCCTCATCCAGCAGTGAAGAGTCTGGGCCAAATATTTCCTAAAATACACAGTGCACTAATGATTTGAATTGCACTCGTTTTTAAACTGTTAACAAATTATTATTGAAGTGAATAGGTGCATTTTTCTGGGCTTCATGGCACAGCCTATAACTTAGCATTCTTGAAGCTGAGGCTGTAAGATTGCAAGATTTAGACTAGCCTGAGGTACATAGTGACATCTGTCCACTAAAAAGAAAGAAAAGAAGGAAAGAAGGAAGGAAAGGAGAGAGGATGAAAAGAAGGAAGGAAGGAAGGAAGGAAGGAAGGAAGGAAGGAAGGAAGAAAGGAAGGGAGGGAGGGAAGGGAAGAGACAAGGCAAAGAAGAAAGAAAAGTTATCTTTCATTTTAGAGGGCACTGCTGCTAGAATGATTGACAGGATTTACATGTAATAAGTTCAGCAGAATCTTCAGATATGGTGTTAATATATCACAGAAAAGGATTAGATTTTAATAAAATTGGGGTTTTTGATGTATGGAGAAAACTCCATAGATACGGCTGTTACCAGAGGTGACAATATATGACAATGAGCTACTCATTGCAGATTCCTAAGTGATAAATTACATTACTTATAAGGATGTCAGTAGACTAGGCTACATCAGTTTGCTTTTAGAAAAATCAATGAAATAAAAATGTTTAGTTAAGGCCTAGCCACATTCTCTAGTTTCTTTATTCTACTGACTTATTTCCATTTTCAAAACAAGGAGTCAGTGCCAAAAGATAATGAAGTAATTTAATCAGAAAAGGCACTTGATATTAAGCCTGAAATCCTAGGTTCACATGCCAGGATCCGTATGGTAGAAGGAGAGAAATGACTTCAGCAAGTTGTCTTTTGCCAGTCACACAAGCACTATGGCATATTCAAGGGCACATATACACATACAAATAAATTTTTAAATATTAAAATGCAAGGAATAAAAAGGAAATGAATTATGCTGAAAAGAATAATTTAATATTATAATGAATGATTAAATCTTTCTCTGGAAACCCATATGATGTTGGGTAATCAATGATCATTTTATGTTGGCTTCTTTCTCATAGTTTATCATCAATTATACATTTGTAGAACCAGAGTTTCTATGATTAAAAAATAAGGAGTATCCATCTTTTTACATTGCAATTTTGTTGGGAGAGTTATTAATAAAAGAGTTGACAGTTACATATATCACACAAAGGCATTTAAGGGTAACACAAATATACTAAAAACTCCATGGATGTTTGTCCAAACACAAAATTTTCAGGTGAAACCACTTATTCTTATAATTTCTTCTTCCTGTGGTGGGGACTTCCAGGAGCTATTACTGACTTACCAGAAAATCTATCTCAAATTCAGGTTTGATGGAACATCCTTAGAAAAATTTTAGTTTCATGGAATTTTTATATAGAAACTAATGTTTTTTCATTGCAACCAATATATATTGAACAGAAGTCACATATTATATGCCTCATTTTATGATAAGAGATAGGTGCTGTAAGGCTTCACAGAACTTCATGCTCTGTCACTACTCTTGTTTATAGCCATTCAGATCTGAAGGTCTGTTGTCCACACTGATAATGACAGTCTCTTGAAAAAAAGCAAGTGTCTGCCTATCCAGTACTCTCCTGGCTCCAGGGAAAATTGGTAGACAAATGGCATATGAAAAATTGCTATCTGGACTCATCATGATCATAGTAATAGCCTCCAGAAAACACAGGTTCTCAGGACTGAAGAAAGAAAAAAGGAAAATAAAGAAATTTTGTGCAAAATTTGAAGGAAAAGTATAGATGCCTGAAGAAACAAGAAATGAGGTGTTGCAGTGAAGCATCACTTTGCCAACAAAGTGGTCTGAGATGCTTTTGAGGAGAGGAGAACAAATGTTGAGAAACATGTTAGAGGTTGAGGGCTATGTGGGATGTTTTTTCATCTCCACTTCTGTTTTAAACCTTGTATTAAGTGAAGAGTTCCTCACAGAAACAATTTATGAAGCTGAATACAGTCACACAAACTACAACTCAATTAAACCAATAACTTTTCTCAAGGACTTGCACCAATATTACCCTGCTTTTTATACTTTATATACTGGCCTTTTTTTCTGAAAATTCTCTAACTTGATGAACTGATCAAATTATGAAGAAATTATAATTTCTTATATATATAATCAGAAACCCATCTAATCAATGGGTTTCTGATTCCTGGAAGGCCTTCAGAATTACTCTTCAAAGAACAGGTTTGATGTGCAGAAACAAATTGACTCACCTGACTAAACTACATAAATCACCAAAGGAAACACTAAACTTCATTGGGATTTTAGACAAGTACTTTTCTTGCAATGCTACATCATATCCCTTGCATCAGCTTTATCACTTAGCCTTCAAGAAAAACATTAACTACCATTGTTTTCTCTATACAGTTAAATACCAAACATAACTAGATTGTGCTTATTTTGAATTTATTCTGAATTCTGAAGAGTGCTTATAATAAATTGTTTTGCAACTTTATCCAAACAAAAAAAAATGAAAGTCATTTCATGTGATGCTCATGAAGCTCATCCAGGTATTGAATGTTGTTCCATTAAGAAGTTAAAAAATCACCCAGTTGCAATTTAATGATGATGTTCAAACACAGACTCTCAGACATACTGAACCTCATTTCAACAATAGGCATGCTGTGCAACTTGTGGCTTCATACAGCTTCCATGCCAGTTTACACTAAGGGACATTGAAATCAGTGATTCATTAGCACTGAGCAGAACTAGGAGTCCAATCTAAAACCCCACCCTCTGACAAACTGGGTGACAAAGTCCCTTCACATACAGTGTTCTTTGGCCTGTGATGTGAAAGGAAAGCTTGTCCCCTACCCATCTCTAAAGCGATATTGACTTTTAAACTTGTGACATCAACACTGAACTTTTCTGGACTTGACACAGCCTTGTTAATATGTTTTATAAGCATAGGGTAATGATATAATTTAGTTTCTCATAGTGAGAGAACCTTCCTGTGAACTCTAGCTGTTAGACACTAGTTAATAACTACAAAATCATACACTAACTTTGGGTGGGGGTGGGGGTGGGAGCAGAGGACAAGGCTTGTCAATACAAGTGACTTTTGGTCCTCACTGAAATCACTTCTCTACGAAGGTGATTCTTGGCCTGCCTTCGTGTCTTGTCTCTGCCATGACCTCAGTACTTCTCTGCTAGAGTTCCTTTTGTGAATGCTGGTGTTTACTTTCTTTCCCTTCCTGCCTCCCCTCCATACTGTTTGAATTTGGGAGAGGCAGGTTTGGATGCTAATAGTCAACGTGGCCACTGCAAGAATTACTAGCAATATGTGTAAAGCAGCATCTGGTCATTTGCATTTAAGAGTTTGATTTGAGCTTGGGTGAGGTCAGTAACTAATTTCTGGTAAATTTCAGACAGAATTATGTATGCCACTTACTGACTAATTAAGTGAAGTCTATGTGAAGCCTGAGAGTATTTTTTCTTTCTGTTTGTCATAGAGTTTGGGAGCATTTCATGGAAAGGTTGCTCTTCAAAGTTTCAGGACAGGAGTGACAACAACAGGCAGATTGTTCTTTACCATCACAATACAGATGTAAGAAACAGGAAGGAGTCAGTCTTCTTTTGTTTATTTGCTCATTTTTGTTGGAAACCAATGCGAATTGGTCATGTTTCATCCAATGGCCTTACCAATGTCCCTATGTCCAGGGACAATGGCAAGTGGCTACAGAGGATGATTCCTTCCTGTAAATGGACACCACATTGTAACTTCTGGATATAGAGTGTAGTCATCAGGAAGTATCAAGAAGGGCAACTTTCTATGCATGGAATTAGAGCACCACTCACACTCTTTCCAAATGTTAGGCTTTCTGGAAGCTGAGTACAGCATTGATTTAAAAGCTGAGGCATTCAAAGAACCACCTAGTTAAGGACAGAGAACATGCTACAATCTAGAGCCCAGCACCAAGTGAGATCCTTTGCTGGAACAGAGACCTGAGCAAAGATGATGGAAAGTGATCCCATGAAGGTAATTCCTAGTATAAGAAGTATAACATTAAGGATGAGGGAACTCTTCACATCACCCAGCCTTAGAGAAAATGGAGTAAGAGACTAATAACAGCAGCTGGTTCAGAAAGGCAACTGACAAGATTCATCATTCCTCTCAGGACCGAGGTTAGAATGATAGAGCTCAAGAACAGGATTGGTTCTCGAGATAGGAGGGACGGCATTAGACAGAAACAATGAACTATGTGGAGAATCTAAACACGAAGAGGTTTTAAATGGAAGATGGGGATT